AACAGTTATAACCAGCGATCCGCACTGACTGGCTGACGATTCGCTTGGATAAAATTGAATTTTTATAGGTATAGATTAGTAAATTATTTACGAAGATATAAAAGAAAACAATGTATTTCTTAAATTGATTTTATATTTATTTAAATAACAAGAAAATATTTCAAATAGGACAGATAGGCAAGAAACTCTAAAGACGTTTATTTTTTTACATATGAGTATATAGTCTTTGAAAATTAAATTATGCTACTTGAATCTTCGCCAGAATCGTCTGAGAACACTTTGATTCCGGACGTCCCATCGTTATCTTCATGATCATTGTTAGAATCGGAGCAGCTATCGCTTTCACAGTCTCTGTTCAGCACAATATTAATTATAAGCTCTTCAATGTCATTTTCATTCGTTACCTTTATCGTCCAGTAATCACTTTTTATCTATCTCTATATCTATCTATATATCTTTTTATACAATTAACGTCTTTTCGCCAATCCACGGCCATAATTGAGGCTATTACTTCACGCGTTAACACTTTTATTTTTTTCCAGCTTATTGTCGTTCTTTTCGACTACTCTTTGTTTGACCAGATTCCATACATATTCAATCGGGCTTAGGTCGCAGTTGTATGATGGTAATATTAATGTTTCACGGCCATAATTCGCTGGTAATTTATTTATAGAGTAATGTTTCTCTGGCTTGTATTTTTTAACTAATTCGAAAAGCTCATATTTTGTCCATGAATCAACCTATCATCATCATTATTACAGCCCTTCACAAGTCCGCTGCTGAACATAGGCCTCCCCCAAGGTATGCCATAAAACACGGTCCTGAGCCACCTGCATCCATCGACTTCCTGCATGCCTTATCAGGTCATCACTCCATCTGATGGAGGGTCGCATTACACTTCGCCTACCGGTACGAGGCTGCCACTCGAGAACCCTTCTTCCCCAACGGTTGTCGGTTCTTCGACCCCCCGAGCATAACCTTCTCCATAGCTCGCTGAGCGGCTTCGAGCGTCCTCATATGGCCAGCAGTGAAGAACCACATCTCGGTTCCATAAGTCATCACTGGCAACACGCACTGGTAACAGGCAAAGTGGCAGATTGTACTCTTCGGACTTCTATGGAATTTGCCAAAGGGTATATATGTGGTCTATATTACTAAAGCCTTTTCAGAAACCGGCTTGTTCGGGAGGCTGAAGTCGTCGAGCCTGCGCGCGAAACGATTCGTAATGACTCTCGAAAACAGGATATCGGTCTGTAGTTCTTCAAGAGATCGTTGTCACCTTTCTTGAAGAACAAGACCACCGCACTTCTGCTCCACACCTCGGGAGTAATGCCTCCATGGAGGACAGAATTAAAAGAGGCTCTGAAGGACTGCAAGTACTGGTATTCCACCCGCTTTCACAAGCTCCGCTGTAATTCCATCCTCGCCCGGGGACTTGCCGTTTTTAAGGTGCTGGAGAGCCATTCTAATCTCGCTCAGACTGACGTCGGGGATATGATCGGAATAGTGTCGGATAAGACTTGCTCTTGTATCGTTACTCACACTTGCGTGTGGCTCCAACGATGATGTGTACAGCTGCACATAGAACCTCTCAATCTCACTTAGAATCTCAGGTGTCCCGGAAACAATGCTGCCACACTCAGTCTTCAGCTTTGACATTTGGCTCTTACTGGCAGGCAGATCTCTGGCAAAGACTTTGGAGCCCTGGTTCTGCTCAATCGCTTCTACAATACGAGCTGTATTGAAGTTGCGTAAGTCCTGCCACATGCATTTGGAGATCTGTCTGTTCAGTTGCCTGTATGCTGTCAAATCTGCTGACGGCTGCAGCTTCAACACCCGTCTAACATCCATGAGATTAAGAGTGTGATCGGAGAGATTTTATGTTCTTCTGCGGCGGGTCTTACAGAACTTAGCTCTGACCGCATGGACAGTTTCCACGAGCTTCTAATTCATATCATCCACTGTATTGCAGTATTCTAGGCACTGAAAACGGTTTTGTAATTCGAGCTGAAAGTTTTCGGGACCCTGGATTAGCGCACGAGGGGATGGAGCGTTGACTTCACTAGACGAGACCTCTCCAACTTAACGTTTTAGGTCAGTGTGCCTCTAACCTTTCGGTAATCGCTGCCAGTTTTCACCCGGCGTTCATGCGATCACTGAGACATCACTGAAGAGTTGGCATCTGGTCGTCATAATGAAGTCAATTTCATTTTTTGTCGTACCGTCGGGGCTCGAACCGGTCCACTTCCTGTGGGGCCGCTTCAGGAAAAAAGAGTTCATCATAAAGAGTCCCTCTTTCTCCATAAAGTCAGCCAGCTGATGGCCCCTAGGGTTCCGTTGCCTTACTCCAAATTTCCTTAACTTAAGCTCACCGCTTTCTCTTGTGCCTTGTTTTGCGTTGAAGTCTTCCATCAACACCGTATAGTGTGTTTTGGAGAAATTTATGGCTCTAGAAATATCCTCATACATTTCCTCCACCTCCTCATTGAGATGTGCCGAGGCTGGTGCGTAAACCTGTATGACCTTCAGCGAATACCGTTTGGTGATTCTGAGTATCAGGTACGCGTACCTCGTCGACACACTCTCAATCCTTACAACGTTGTTGACGAGAGACTTGGGGACGATAAATCCGACACCTCCTTGGGACACATGGTCACCCTCACGGTGATAGAACGAGTTGCTGGACTCGAGGATTACTGTGTCCTCTCCCTCTTTTCGGACCTCGGACAATAATATGCCAGCGCAATTTGTCTACCTCTTCTTCCAGCTCCAGTATCTTCTCGTCAGTCCTCAGGGTGCGTGCATTATATGTTGCCAAGTAGATTCGTCGTAGGTGGCAGCCAAACATTGCTTCTTTTTATTCTTCCTGCCGTTACCATGGTCGCCACCGTAGCCAGGAAGAGCGGGGCCGCCGGGGACTGAGGCCGTTTGTTTGCGTCGTTGGTCATGGGGGGATATTTTCCATAGTTGCTACGCTTGGCGAGCTGGTTTCTAACCGCAATTTTTTATTATATTATTGTTGTTATCAGGAAGATGCTGCTGCCCATCTCCTGCCTGTCTCCCTCTGTCGCCTCTTACGACACCCACGTGAAGATATGAGGTAGTGGATATTCTCAACCGCCACTACACGGCCAACCATAATCAACATATTGAATCAACATAATGTATACCATTTTCGCGCAACCAATTTTGTATCTCACTTTTTCGGTTTGCTACTGATGGAGATTTACTTACTTGCATGTTGTCATACGGTGTGGATCATACGGTGGTGATGGACAACCAAGATACTATTTGGAGGTATATTTGGGATCCATTTTTCCCCAATATATTTAGTGAAATCTTGCCTACTTATTTCATCATGGTAATCGCCTCTTTTTGGTTTTGACCTTAAAAATCAACTCAGCACCCTTCAAAAATCTATTTCCTGAACCTGAATGCACAATAATCAACCTCCTTCGATTCCGTGCCACCAAGTCTATCACTGTTAATCTTGTTTTCGTTCGTACTTAAGTTTGTTACTGAAGTATAGAGTATGTATGAATTATAGTATTATTTAAGTCATAATTATAAAAAAAAAATAGATTCAATGATTGTATTACCAGAAGAAAAAAAATCGTTGGAAAAATACATATTTTTTTTTCAAGATTTCTTATATAAAGACCCCCATGGGCTTTAAAATTGTATTCGTTTTATTATTTGCATTAAAGTGACCATTATAGTTACTAATAATTAAAAAGTTACAGCCCTGTGACAAGGAGATAGATTGACGCAGTAATAGGGTTCCGTTGGGCACTCTGCCATGTAGTGGCGGTGTAAGAATGGCCTTCCCCCCGGACCGCTGAGTAGTGCGCACATATTCCACAGTTTAGTGTTAAACAAAATTAACTAAATTAAATAAAGTTCTTATGCATATTAAATACCTCACGCAAAAATAGGAGTGCATAGAAACACAGGAGTAAAAGGATTGTTACCTACGAGTCAACACATGTGACACGATGGATTGCATCTAAATAATACATAAATAGTAAAAGGAATAAGCGAGAAAACCTCTAATTATCATACCCGCTTTGAGGACAACAGTAACGTCAAGAGACTTGCATTGCGCGGTGGCTGTGCGAATTGATTTTACCTCCTCTACTTTCTGCTCGCCTAGTATTATATCATGTCATCTAACAATACCTTCGTCACTCACTACAGAAGCGTGCTTATGCACACCGAAGAATTAAATCTTTAGTTTTTATGCTGCCCTGGTACTATACAATATATTTCTGTTGACATTGGACGACATTTTGGCAAAACGATTCCTCACTACACTATTGTGCTTCTGTTATCCTGGTACAATTCTGTTGCGTATGGAATGACATTAAGAAACAAGAAACAGTAAACAGTACAGAAAACTAAAATATCTTACAATATCTGTTCTCCTTGTGCCCTTTTTGGAATATTATTGATAAATACGTCGCCGAATATTCTTAATTACTAAACACTCCGAGATTTTTACTTCAAATATACCAACTTAAGTATCTCTATAGTACTCCTAGTGTCTGAGTGTGTCATTTCTTAAGATTCTTCTAGGGTTTTCACTCCTATAAGTGAGTTTTTACGAAGTGTTCCTCGAATACCCTTCTGGCGGTTTTACTTACTATCGCCAACACTGCTATCACCTATGCCTAAAATGATTAGATCACAACCTTCCGATACTTTGCGAACTGCCTCTAACCCTGAATTTGCATCTTCCAATATCACACAATGAGAAAATAAACGGCGCCGAACTAGCGACGCTAATAACGAAACTGAAATAGTCTCTACGGATGCTATTAACGAGCACAAGGCAAGGAAACCTTTGTTAATAATCAAAATGCAAGATTAGTCAATATAGACAAAAACTAGCACTTGTCACAAACCAAAATATAATCATACAACAAACCAATTCGGAAATAGAAAAGTCCATAAATTTCGTCTCAGACAGAATAGATAATCTGTAAAAAGATGTCTCCAACATGGAAAAGGATCGCAAAGCTCTTGAGTCACAAATAAACACAGTAAATACCAAATTGGACGCCTTGGAGAGATACATTCGCAAGACGAGTATTGAGATACGTAATGTTCCAAAAATAAGAGGTGAAACTAGGGAGACTTTATTCAAATATGCACACACCCTAATCACGAACTTAAATGTACCTATGGAACAAAAAAATCTTCGTGATGTCCATCGTTTGCCAAGCAAGGCTGAGTTAGGGAGTAGTCTACATAAGAGTCAGGTAATTGATGCAGTAAAACGCTATATTAAAGACAATCCTAAGGATTCACTTAACTGTACTCATATGGGAATTATGAATGTTAAATCATCAATTTACGTAAGTGAACATCTGAAAACAAAATCTAAAAGACTATACTTTCTTGCAAGAGATGTAGCCAAAACTATGGGTTATTCATATTTTTGGACGTCAAACGACAATGTGTACTTGCGCCGTAAAGAAGGAGACCCTCACATTCTCATAAGAACCGAATCCCAGCTGTTCGAACTTAAAAATACTAAATGACTAGATGTAAGACATGTTATAATATTAGTTATACTAGAATACTCTTATGTTAAATTAGTTAAGTTTAAGAAAATATACACTAAGCTATCCTATTTTTTTAACAAACATAACCTATAACTGCCGACATAAGTCGTGAGCACACTTTTTATTGGTCGATACGACGTTGACCACGCTAACGTTCAACGTGATTGGTTCATTGTCGATTCTCGTCGTCTATTGGTTTCGAACGTATCATTCGGCTTCCGTACACTTCAGAGCAATAATTTTAATGATAACTTTTTTAATAAGTTTATTTTCGTTAATTGTTTTTGTCAGCTCGTTATTAATTGTTGTTTGTGTATTCCTTGTTATTAATTGTTTTATAATTTGAGTGTTCAGATTTTAGTCTAAATATGCAGAGAAGAAAAAATTCGGTGTTAAATAGACAATCCCGACAAATTTGACAAATCCCGAAAAAAAAAAACTTAATCAACAATCACAATTTACTCACTTACTTACTAAACAGAGACTATACAACACAAATTATATTAAATCTCACTGTTTTCACATTGTCATGAACTGTAAAAAAATAATATTTTATAAAACAACTTGTTACTATTTAATTATTTATATGTTAGGATTTAAAATAATTTATCATAACCTTAATAATAAGATGCGGTATAAAATATTAGGCCATGCTAAGACTAACAGTATGACGTGGTTGCAATCATTTCGTCACCTATTAATAAATATACATAGGCGCTAACTAACATAAATGAAATATCAAATAATCTAGATGATATTACAAATTCAGAATTTTATATTTGCAATCCTGAGGATGTATGCCCTATAATATTAGTCAGCCAAAAAACTACACAAATATTCTATGTCAAAATATTCGAAGCATAAAACGAAAATTTGATGGTTTAACTGTGCTTATGAAAAAGATGCATGTAGATTTTGATCTGATTATCCTGACTGAATGTTTGTGCACGTTTTTGCGGGCGGGTTTACCTTAAGGCTAAACGCGTCGGATTCTGGTGACCAACACAGACCGAGCACCTTGTGTGTATCAGAATCGTCGAATTCCTTTATCGCCGAAAGACGGTGTGATAGTGGGATTGTGTCTAAAACCGGATGCGAATTACTAGTCCACTTGACACACTGACCTCTATATATACAAGTACGCTGGACTGGCTATACACCGTGACATGATGAAGCGATTTGATTTCCGACATTTTGGCGCTGACAGCAGAAGTGCACGTCCACGGAACTAATAATAGAGATAAGACAGTGTACCAAATTATTTATTTATTTATATATAATATTATATATCTACACAAAACAAAAATAAAAAACATAGTTTCTAAAATAATTTATTGTTAACAGTTCATTTAGTTCTAGTATTATAAAGAAAAAAATAATCAGCTGCTATAATTACGCTTATTCTAATCAACTACAGGTCTGTCTATAGACAGTAAAATATTTTCTACTATATAAAGATTTATGTTTGTTCGTACTTTCTACTATGCCATACCGTTCATCAGATTGCGGTAAAACTTAGTCAACCTATTGTTTGCACTTGTGCGAAGGTTATACGCATTCTACAATTAACTGACACTAGGTGGCGTGCGTATTATACTGACTATTTATTTGAAAGTTATAGAAAGTTAAATATCATTCTATTTCAATGATTGTATTATCATTCCTAATTATACAATACAACTTTTCCACATTTTTAACGATATTTTCACAATTATTTCTTCTGCGGCAGCAATGCGCCGGGTACGAGCTAGATAATATTAAAAATATATATATATATATATATATAAACTTTGAATTACATAGTTATCAGTTATTTACAGCGTCATTTTCGAAATTAAAATTATAATATAAAAAAAATTACTGAAATTATTGTACAGTCCTACTTTTCGTGGTATCGTTCCAAGAATGCTGGCTACGTGTCATCTCTGAATGGCTATACTTAGCCTCAAGCGAGGAAGCAACAAACTAAACAACTTCTTATTACCAGCAGCGATGATCCGTCGCAGATACAGTTTTTTAAGAACTACACCGCACGTGCACCCTACGGACCAATAGTCTCTACAGCAAGTAGCACAAATATGTACTCATACTATTACATGCCTGCAATTGAGAGAGAATTAAATCTCTAGATTGCATTGATTAAAACTACTTTTACGGATTTTATCGCGTTTTATGTATATAAATTTTAATACACGACGTTTCGGGTGCTTTCCAGCACCCATGGTCACGGGGGACTGAGGTGACTGACGTCCCGATGTCAAAGTTAACCCGGAGTACCTTCAGCTTTTTAATTATTGTTTTTGGTCCGATCTACGCAGAATGAACTAACTGTATTTTGAAGTCTTGCAGTGGTATGCTTGGGTTTAGTTTTAATTTTAGTGAGTCAAATCGATACGCCAGTACAGGTACAGATTGGCTCAACACTTAGCCAAAATATTATCACCACTCAGAGGACACACAAGAGCACATACTAAGGATTCATACCATTTTGTCAGTGAGATAAAAGACCTACGTCTTGCTGACAATGAAACCATGGTCAGTTTTGATGTTCAGTCTCTATTTACATGCCTACCTGTTGAAGACTGCATCTCAATTATAACTAGGAATCTAGATGAAAATAACATGCCACCAGAATATGCAGTACTAATAAGGTATTGCCTTACATCTGGCTATCTATTGTGGAAGGAAGAGTTTTACAAGCAAGTAGACGGTGTTGCGATGGGCTCACATGTATCTCCCATTGTCGCCGATATATTCATGGAAGACTTTGAGAAGAAAGCCCTCCTTACAGCACCTGTTACCCCAAGGTTCTACAAGCGGTACGTAGACGATACTTTCACAATTTTACCATCTGACAAAGTAACTGCATTTTTAGAATATCTTAATTCCATAAACCCTAAAATTCAATTTACTATGGAGTTAGAGGCAAATAATTCCTTAGCTTTCCTAGATGTGTTAGTCATCCGAAATCCTAATAACACCATAGGACATATTGTGTATAGAAAAAAGACTCATACAAACCGATACTTAAATGGTGAATCTCACCATCATCCTTCACAGTTAGCTACCGTGGGCAAATCTTTGTTTCAGAGAGCACGAGGGATCTGTGACAGCAAACACCTGGCCACCGAGCTTCAGCACGTCAAGCAGGTTCTGCACGACAACAAGCTTCAGGTCCCGCGCCTCCGTCACAGTGACCGAGTGAAGCCGGCCACAGTCGAGCGTGTGCCTGCTATACTACCATATGTCAGAGGTGTCACAGACAAGATTGGCTACATCTTGAAGCGAGCTTCTATTAGAACATTCTACAAGCCGCCGAAGAAGATTAGTCAGTTCTTACCATCCGTCAAGTGTCATATTCCTCTACAAGATGCAGGAGTTTACAAGCTTGATTGTGATTGTGGTCTCTCATATATAGGGCAAACAAAGAGATCAATTAGAACCCGCGTAAAAGAACACATAGCTGACGTGAAGTATCAACGTTTCGGGAAATCTCCAGTTTGCGATCGTATTCTAGATGGCCCCAACCATTACATCAGATTTGATAGACCACAAATCCTCGCGAAAGAACATCGATTCCTACCAAGGATGATACGTGAGGCTATTGAAATTAAAAAACATCCAAATTTCAATAGAGAAGGAGGCTGGGTACTACCACCTGCTTGGGATCCTATAATTAATAAAATTAAAACTAAACCCAAGCATACCACTGCAAGACTTCAAAATACAGTTAGTTCATTCTGCGTAGATCGGACCAAAAACAATAATTAAAAAGCTGTAGGTACTCCGGGTTAACTTTGACATCGAGACGTCAGTCACCTCAGTCCCCCGTGACCATGGGTGCTGGAAAGTACCCGAAATGTCGGGTATTAAAATAAATATAAATAAAACGCGATAAAATCCGTAAAAGTAGTTTTAATCAATGTATAGTGTTCGCGTAAATATAAGAAATCATTCTCTAGATTGCACTTACTAAAACCCCATGGTGTTCTACCTCCACCGCAAATTGGCAGGGCCACGGAAACGCTTTCATGCACATCCGCGGCCCCTCTGGCGCCAGCCTCCCAATGACAGCCCCTCCTTAGTTGCTGACTTCTCCTCCCCGATTTCATTCTCAGATAAGGCGCACCAGAAACACAAGCCACACTACCCTTCGCAGCCTCTAACTCCAGCTGCACTACGGACTACCCGAGCCCGATATGTGAATGGAGCCAGGGAAAAATTAGCACTTTGAAGCATCAAGTGGTGCAGTCTCACCAAAGTCGCGAAAGATAGTCGAGTGGCACATCGTCAATTGCCATACCAACACTCCTCTTCCCTTACTACTCCACCTCGACTACAGCGGTACAGGGAGAGGAATCTCCCTTAGCCGCAGCCCACTAACACACATCCAACGTGGCTCGACATCATCAGGCGACCTTTCGACACTTGGCTATGGCCCTTGAGTTTGGTGGACTATTAGGAAAGAAGAAATAAAAAACATTCTAAATAATAATCTAATACTTTTATACTTGCTGGTACTGGTACTACCACAAAATATTGTCGGTATACTGCACTTTTTCAAAGTGGTGCAGTTCTCATGTCTAATAAAACAGTCGTCTGTGAAATGTTTGGAACAAATATGATCATTTTGTTTCGGACGCCAATTCACAATATTTATTCTTTTAAGCCATAATTTGAGTGTAGGTTCAGTTGGAAGCCTGTTAATTAATAAACATTTGATAATCATCTGTTGTTGGCGACTTTGTTTATTAACAGATATTGGTAGAAAAGAACATCGATAAGTATTATAGACAAGGAACTCGACAACCCTATTGAATTTTATTGTTTATCAAAACTCAGTAATATACAGCCAAACATGTTGGCATAAATGATATTAAGATTAGTAACAAATTCTAAGTACTTATATTATTAAATAGTTTTTATTTATTTATTATTTGCTGCAAATTCACTTACTTGTGAAATGTTACACCACT